TAGTTATGTCAAACAGCATTTCTGATATTACTAAGTATCGCTATCTTACATGAAGACTAAGAACAGCAACTGCTTCTTAGCTTTTTGGTACATTTTTTCCTTAAAAAATTATTGGCCACTGCTTCTAGAAAAGATATTCACTCAAATTCTGGGCTTTAGCCCAGATATCATGGAGTACTCCTTCTGGGCAAAAAAAACCCCAACAAATGACCAAAAACCCCTTTGGTTTTCAACCTTCTTACACGTCCTTCACTCGTGCCAGAGAAAGAATATTTTCATATGGATTTAGATGACTGAAAAATGAAAAATAAAAGCAGATTGTGCTGGTTCTTCTAACAGATGAAAAGTTAAGAATATTTTATTCCACAAAGCTATTTGAGGTCTGACTGGTTTAGGTTACATACTCCTGAGGAAGACACCCAAGCTGTCACCTCAGCCTCTTCTGCTTTTTTGTTGCTCATGCTTCAGAGCACTCTAAGTCCTCTGTACTAATAAGATAATATGGCAACTGTTTCTGAACACATAATTAGACAAGAGTCAACTTACTAGTAGCATTATCAAACTTAAATTAGAAACATAAGGGAAGTAGGTATCAAATGTCAGTATGCCGATAGCTGTCAGACAGTTTCCAAGGTCCATTCATTCAGCCAGCCCTAGACCTGGGACAGAAGGATGCTTTCAAGCCTCAAATATACCCCTAGCACTGAAACAAAGCCATTTTTGCTTCAGTCCAACTACAAACAAGCAGAGCCCTGTGCTGACTGCAGTGAGGATTCTACCAGGGTAATGCATGATTTTTAAGATAATATACTTTACAACGTGTATTACACATTGAGTATCTTCCCTGGTTTCCAAAGAAAACCCATCTTGACAGCAGCATAAAGACAATACTGCCTTAATGGTTGAAGCTAAACACGAAGTCTTACAGTAAATTTTTTCATCTTCTATTTAACCCTTTTCCCTTGCGTCAGTGTGAAGGGGATGCCTCCACACTCCTCCTCCTTCCCCAGGGAGACTGAAGAGGTGGTGGCAATCGAAACCCACACCCGCCTGGTTTCAGGCCCACTCATACACCTGAAGGAGCATCCATCTCACTCCCAGGCACCACCGCCCCAGCGACTCTGCCTGGGGCTGGCCTCGCTGTTGCTACAGCTGACCACAGCATTAAACATGGTGGGGAGCAGAAGGGTGGGGGTGGTTCAGGCAGTTTACAAAGGAACAAAGAAGAAACATCCTGCCAGAAAACAGAATGGGGCAGAGAGCTTCAGAAGACATAACCGCCACTGGGGGAGCAAAAAGAAGGTGAGATGGGGATGGGAGGGCAAGGCTGATGCAGGTACTGCTTTCGAACTGGGAGCCATGAGAAGGCCTGGGAAGTGCTCCCCCCTTCCCCTGCAGGGACAGGCTGCCTCTGGGCAGGCTGCCTCTGGCCCGGCCTTCGCCCCACGGCCACACAGGGCTGCGCACACAAGACAGCCACCGTCAAAGTGAAGCTTCCTCAGAGAATACTAAGCAACGCCAAGAGAGGCTCCGTGCTCGAAAGACCCAACCCTCACAGCAAGCAGCACGCCTTCATCCCTTCTCCCCCAGGACACAGACGGGGCCCAGCAGGGAGCCCAGCAGAGCTGACAGCCTGTGATAAGGAGCTCTGGCACAGCAGCAATACAATAAAAACACATTACTCCATTTTTACTTTCATCTCTCAAATGATCTGAGAGGTTCAAGTGTTGGATTTGCATTCCCCTTGTTCCCACACTTACAGTGCTGCTCACAGCTTTGCGTGTTTCTCAGCACATTCACACACATGGGCATGGGTGTGTGCATGCACACACACACGGCAAAACCCAGGCTGGCTCCAAGGCTGAGAGTGTTATAAATCCACCCCGAGGTAAGCACAGTTCCAGATATTGTGGCACATTTCCTGCAGCTTATGGCAGATCATCCTTAACTTGAGAGTGCTTTTTAACTGCTGCTTCCCCTGGAGAGAATCACTAGCCACTTATTTTTTTGCCGTCCTCCCGCAATTTATGTCTTCTCAGCCATTGCAAGGAGCCACACTCTGATTAAGCAGCTCCTCCAAAATGAATCTAGCCCCTCTACACACCTTTTCCCCCTGCAAGGAGAGGAGATGAGGGCCAGTCAGCTCGCTAGCTGGACAGGAGTGACACAACTGCTGTACTATTGTATCTCAGGAAAGATAGCCCATGCCTAATTTCAACCATTTAAAAATCTAATGGGATTTGCACAGTATTTATAGAAGTTCAGGTTTTAATCATCTTCCTTGCTTATTTTAATGCAAATATACCTATGTGCGTACTTTCATGTGCATGCACACACACACAGAGTGATGAAGACTCTGTAGACACAAATGTACCACTGGCACTCTCTGAGCTTCAGAAATTGGGTCAAGGGTAGTATTACCAAAGAACAAATTTATAATTAAAAATTTATAATTAGATTCTCCACAGAAAAAAAAATATATCCCTGGTTTTCATTAAGAAAAAAAATAGAAAGTAAATTGAATAGCTAAGTTCTGAGAGGACATCCTTGCTAGCCTTATACACCACACTATACGGGTATTTTCATGCTATCTACACAATTACAGAAATACAACTTTGTTTCAGATGCACCATTTGCTCATGAAAATACTATAAAGTTGAAAAATTTAAGCTTGGGGGAAGTGAAGGATGAAACCTACTACTGGGTCACTTCAAACACAATTTGAGAAGATACCAGGCACAAGCAGGCAGATTTTACTGGTCAAAGCATCCAGTCACCTCATTTTGTATTTGCAACAGCACGGTGTACTAGCACACTGTGCCACTTAAAGCATCGCTTCCCTGTGGCTGAAGAGAGTAACATTTTAATGTCCTGCTTCTCCAGCAGAGAAGCAGCCAGGAGGCAGCACGATGGAGCACCACGCTGCTGCATGAACGGCATCCACCGCTCGTGTCCCTTCAGGCGGACCAGCTTGAGCCCAGCTCCAACACCGCTGACCTGCTCAGCCAAGATACTTCAGTAGCTCAAAGCAAAACAGCTTCCAGCTGCATCTCAGAGAAGGCAAAACTGATGGCTCCAGGACTCCCGCGTTCTCCTCAAGAGAAATTGCTGATCCTCTTTATAATTACTTAGTTATAAGCTGAAGGTAGCTATTTATTTAGACCTGATTATATAACCTTGTATATACCAGATTATTACCTCCTCTGAAAGCTTTTAGAATTTTTTTGCATTTTTATTTACTTTACACACACACAAAACATTGACCAAGAATGGCTAGAGTAACAAATAACTGCTTTCTATTTATGAAGGTAATAAAACCAGTAAGATAATATCAACCAGAACACAATGGAAATTGTCGACAAGCAATGTGCCTTGCTAGATACTTTTACAGTACTACAAGAAATCTTAATTAATAAATAAATAGATACAACTAGATGCGTTTTGAGTTACAGCTACTGTTCTACTCAAACAACATCAATTCTAGCCCATAACAGGTACTACCAGCTGCATACCTTAAAAAAGCCACCTCCTTTCTCTCCTAGAGTCTCTTCACAGCTCTGACCTCTCCTGAAACAACATGGGGCTTCTTGTTTTAAAGTCCACATGCTGTTCATCGGCTTATAAGTAAATTATTGGCATTATAAATCCTGGCTTACCTCTGCATCTGAGAGAAAGTTCTAAATTCACTTAAGTCCCTATTAATTGAGTTTTCTGTGGTGCTCAGTTTTCGTTTTACGGGCATTCACATAATTCTGCTTTTCACTACTTACTCTTGCATCTAGTTTTCCAGAGATTACATCGAATATATTGCTAGCCATTTTCACTGCTATAAGCAAGCTACTCGAGAACACGCTTACACTGAGAATCTGTTCCTATTCTGATTTTGTACACCAAAATATATACAAATTTAACTGTCAGGGCAAAGAACCATAATGCAGTTGCAGGTCACACAGGGGCAAGGTGTTGGGGGGACAGACTTCTAGTTTGTTAGCTGTTTCTTTTCTTTCTAGAGGAAACTTTTACTTCCAGGAAGTAAACATTTATTTTACACGTCATTCCTTTGCACAATAGTCAAATGAAAAGTGTTCCAGTCCCAATTTTTAGTTTATGTTTTAGGCTATTAAAATGTTATCCTTAGAAGTCAACATTCTTTATAAATTTTTGTATTGTAATTTCAGTTCAACTAAAAAAAACCCAACTGAACAACCAAGCACACATCCAGCTGTCAGCACAAACCACAGAGTTAACCGTCCAAAGCTAAACAAGGGTTTACTTCCAACAACCACAATGGCACGATGCTGAAAGGTGGTTATATTTGGCACCTCTGTATTTACTTCTACTCTTGTGTTGCTCTTTTTATAGCCTTACAGTAAAAACACAGTAACAAAGAAAAAAACTAGCTTATTTAGAGTTACACCCGGCCTGCATCTGCAAGGAGGCCCCTGTGCGTGAACATGTGGAGGAAACGTCTGATCTGAAATTACACCAATTTTCAAGTTAAAAATTAAATTATGTTTGATAAACTGTAGTCTCTTAGTTGCCTTTTATATAGGATTGGACTGTCTAAAAACATATCATGAAAAACTCTGGGAAACGCAACATAAGTTATTAAAAATATTTTCTCAGGTTTGCTCTAAGAGGAAGGAAGGAAGGAAGAAAGAAATTACAGATAGCTTACAACGACTAAAAAATAGCCTAGATCTTTCCAATGTATAAAAAGCCAGCATAACACCACTACTGCCCTAAAGGCCTTCAATCTTGTGTAATAAAAATTCATTTTATGGAGAGTACAAGTATTGAAAATGCTAACAATTTCCAACACGAAGAAGAGTATTGAGACAAACGCTGTTTCCCCTGCTAACTTCACAGTTTCTGACCAACAGACCCCATCGTACAGCTTTTGGCACCCTTCTGCAGAATTTGCAACATAACCTCTGAAGACAGCTATGGCATTGCCGCCAGCAATGAGCATGCCCTTTGGACAAGAACTTCTCGTGAACCCACCAGCAGCTATCCAACCTCTCTCTGCAAGTCTCTTCACCGTGCGAGTCAGGAGGGAAGAGCTGCATGTGAAAGAAACCTCCACTGCCTGCGACATGACCCTGCAAAGTGCCAGCCATCTGCCCCCGGCACAGGCATGGCTCGGCCCTCAGCGAGGCAGTACGAGGGAGGAGTCCCTCTTCCGCTTGCAGACAAGAAGCAGGCAAGACAGTTCCCTGTGAAGCTCATGGCACAGAACTTACTTCTCGTGAGTTTTAAGCCCTCTCCTGAGCTGTCAAGCATAAGCAACGTGGAGCCATTTGGCTGCCGTCACACTGGTGAGCAAAAGGTGACTGGAAAAGAATTAGGATGCCACGCATGTCAGCAGCGGTGGCCAACCCTACTCCATGCTTTGCAAGATGTTTGTTTTCAAGAGCAATGGGAAGCAGAAGCCGATGCAATATCCAGGTAGTTCTGAACTATCCTCCTTTTTCCTCTGGTCAGCCGCCAGTTTTTGGGAGACTTTGCTGACCCCAGCTGTCCTATGTGTCATAGAAGAAATGGAAGAAAAAGCCCAGCTGCTCCAACACTACTACCCTACAGACCCAAACACGGCTGGAAGACTTTGCACATTAGTAAAAAATTAACTACTGCACCATCGTCCCAGGTAAGTACACAGAAGCTGCTGAATCACGCCATGCACATCCAGTATAATCAACACCTCATGCTAATTAGCAGTTGCCTCCTCAAAAACATTTGCCATGAAGAAACTGCAGCTGATTTTCTCTTTTAACATGATCTACAGAAACTTGTAACCATTCTGACTTTTATGGCCAGAGGTTGGTCCTCTAATGCCTGGCACATGGGAACAGTCCCATAAAAGATAACTGAAGTGTTTTGGGGATGGTCTGCAATTTGTAGCTGTTTTGGAAAAATGTTATCTAGTAAACAACAGTACATTTGTCAACTCTGGTAAAGCAACTTAGTTGACCAAGCTATGCAGTTAAAGACTACTTCTTCACTGTGGCAGACAAAAAATAAAACTGTAGCAATGTGTTAAAACAAGGCAATAGATGAGTGAATCCCATATGTCCTGTGTTATTCCCTGACAGAAAAATTAAAATGAGTGTTTCTATTCAGATAAATATCAATCCTTTTTGATTGATTGATTTGAATGATCTGAAAACAGCTTTAAAATCTGACGGTCAAGTTTTTTCATGCCATCTTCACAGCTTTCTGCACTTTAGAGTTTCACCTGTTTTCTAAAGATGAAGAAAAAAACCACATTTTAAAGGCTTCTGCACAAATTTTCAGAGACTAGCACTTCTGTCGGGCATCATATAGCTTTACTTCAACCTGCCAAGTGCTTTTTTTTTTTCCAACAAAATAACTTGGGAAGTCAGAAAATAAGAGTGAGTTCCTTACATTTTAATAACAAACTTCCAAAATGTGAAAATCCTGAAAAGATAAATTCCTGACTCTTAAGAGCAAAGTTATTTCTGAAACCTGAGCTTGTAAGACAGAACTCACACTGTATTTGCATAAAAATAGAGATTTTTACACTATGCAGCTTAGGAACAAAATACTAATATTCCATGACCAAAACTACAATAAATTGTAAACCTTGTTGCAGCTAAGCACACCCAAGCATGTTCAGGCCGTTTTCAGGAATGAGGGGGGAAAAAAAAAAAAAAAAAAGACAGCCCCCCAGCCCCCTTTGTAATTGTTCTGTCCTCCTATACTGATTCCACTGATATCAGTAGTAAAGAAAAGACATAGTCACACTTCAAAAACATTGTTACAGAACAGCTTGGAAAAAGAAATTAAAGAAAGTGATAATGACCTCAGGAAAGGTTAATCATAACCCCCTTTTTTTTTCCTGTGATCCTTATTAAGGATTTTATTCTGCCATCCTTACTCTTTAAGTAGTCCCAACAGATTACTGCCAACTATGGCCTTATTAATATGCATGAGGGTAAAAAACTGAGACTAGACATAAAAAGCATATACTGCAATGTGTATTTTAATCATTTTAGAGGCATTCTTGAAAAATAAGGAATAAGCAGCATTAGATGCTTTCAAAAACTGTTTGTCCATTACTTAGTAACTTAAGTACCTAAATAGTTTTTAACATGGGAGAGAGGAGCCTATGAACAGAGTTACCACGATAGTGAGCAGTTACCAGACATCAGCTGCTCCACAGTGGTTTTTGCATGGGTAGCTTCAGTTATGCGCAAATGTCAAGCTTTATCAAACTAATTTATTAGTCCTCTTTTATTTCAGTAAATCCTTCTGGACTCAGTAGTTAAAGGGAAGATTAAACATGTTAAAACACTGACCTAAAAAGTTACTTATTCTATGTTATAGCATACTAACGAACTAAGATAAATTTACTTCTCACTCTGTAGTTTTCTAGCAACCACTATATTTTTAAACTGAACTATCAAATGAAAGCAGCAGAACACTTCATTTTCCACTAATTCCCTACATTTACACTAGTGCAGCTCTACTGTTATAAGTTTATTAATAACCTGCTTTAATGCTTTTTAACTTCTATTTGAAAAACAATACTTTGCAAGGTATTTCGTTACATCACCAAACTAGGTGTACAGGTCATGGACCCATTCCTTCTCAATGCAGAGGGTGAAATTTACCACAATGAGAAGACATGTGACCCCAGTGTGGTTACACCTTTTTGTATGTGATTTACCAGCCCTCAGAACAGTTCCTCACCAATGTGTTTATGTTGTTATTGTTAATTTTCATTACAGAAAACTTTACTTATTTCTAAACAATCAAAAAGAACAGTTATCAATGACTCTTTCCTGCATTACTTTTAAAGGCTTTTGGTACTTAACCAGTAAGTACGTACCAGTTAGAACCAATTTCAAGGCTGTTTTTCTTGCTTGGTGGTTTTTTTTCCCCCTATAAATGTCAGCTGCATGCTAGATTTTACTGAGATAAAAAAATGCACACATTTTTCTACATGAGCTATCCATTTAAAATCACAGTTAAAATGTTACCTACGTTGTTGCTTTGTATCTTTATGATTTTTTAAAGACAGAAGTCAGTATCAAGGGCAGCCTATGGGCAGACAAGCTACTCTATTCACACTACATCTCCACACAATGCCATTTTGACTTATTTAAAACTCTGTTTACAGGCGTTCCATGACCATATCTACTCCCTTTTGAGCATATACCCTCCACTAGAAGGTGCATTAGCTGTCCTCAGGAAAACACAGATGCTGTGACAACAGTCTGGGACAAAATAAGTGCAGATGCAGTGATTTGTACTCTGTATCTGCATACCAGCTTCCAATCATACAAACACTTTATGTCTTGAACAACAGATGACTGCAGGCAATCTAAGTATTTGATTAACTCTGAAAGGTATGTGAAATTTGAAAGAAGTTCTACATTTTTGTAGCCTTAAGTATTGTGGTCTAAAGCATAAAGTGTCTTAGACTCTTCTCTTCCCTTGCACAGGTATTTCCTGAATTAGCTAGACTGAAATGCATCCATCCCTATTTCTGCAGAGGAACAGAAAACAAACTTCATGTCAGAAGGCCACCTACTATCTGGTGGTACAGGGTTGCTGGCCATGATGTTTCCCTGCTGCAGGGAAGAACCTACAGCAAATAAGCAATAAAAGCAGAACTTTCCAGAGGCTGTCATATACCCAGTCTGTATACAGCCCACATGCCTGACACATTTATGAAATCACTGGGCTTTCTCCATAACCACAATGCAACCGCACTGCTGGCATGCACACAGCAGGCCTGGCACTCCCAGAAAGCACTGGCTTTACTAAGCATGTGCACAGTGATGACAGTATGTGTGTACGCTACTTCTGCTCTGAGCATGTGAGCCCTGTAAGAACATTCATGGACTGCAAACACTTGCACAGCAATTAACTGGCCCACTGATTATTCCTGGACTGCCTTTGCAAGAGTCCAGATCAATATGCCCTAACATGCTGAAGTACCTACACTTCAAAAAGGACAAAATTACATTCAGCACACACTGAACTGTTCTAAGCTACGTTCGCTTTGGGCTATTCCAGGCAGGACTATTATGAATTACCAGTGAGAAAATATGAGGTTTCTTTGTGGTGCTGGCCTTCACTCAAGGGCCTTTTACAGACAACATCCTGGGTTGAATCTTACCACTGCTGAAATCCGCTCATATTCTGAATAAGCATAACAGAGGAGTACAAACACTGACCACTACTGAAGCTCTGCAGGTTAAAGCAAGCAGAAGGGACAGTGGCTTCCTAACTTTTTGTTTGTGGACTACTAAACAGTAATGCGTCTCTCATGCTGGGAAAAGCCATCTAGATCAAGTATATAGGGAAGGACATTGCCTGGAGCTTTGCTGTAGCCAGGGATTGTGCAGCTTGGAGCTCGTATGAAACACCAAGCCTGCAATTCACTTACCTAGGCATAAATTATTTTCTTTGATTTATGAACCACAAAGGCTCACTGGGAAAGGAACTGAACTAGGATCCAGGTAATGTGCTCTACTTCTGGCACCTTTTTGACTTGGCAAGTAGGTTTTGGTAAATATAATCTTTGTTTCAGTTTCCCACCTTTATTTATTGCACTATTTTATGCTGTAACTAACCTTGCCTAAGCCTTTTAAAACCTACCAACCCAGCACTCTTCAGAAGAGCAAATGGTTTAACCATCCCAGCTGGAATCTCATTAGAACCTCGGTAACAATGAACCTAAGTACACCACAGTTTATTACCATGTATCACTGTGGTTCAGTGATACATGGTAATAAGCTCATTTCTATGTCAAATCAGAGAGATGGTGTCTGAAGCCACCTATGGCACTCGGTACTTTCATACTGCAACAACAGTTCGTTACTGACAGCTACTAAATCACCAACATGACCTCCTAGGGCAAAGAGGCAATTCCTTTATGTCAACTGCTGGTGTGGAGCAGTTGGTTCACATGCATCCTACCACCAATACTGTACACAATACTGTTCACAAAACAGACTGCTATTAAACAAAAATGTTGTCTTGGCTTTTGCAAGTAAGGATTGCTAACATAATGCTACATGAATAGACACATCTTTTTATGTACTTTACCAGCAAGCTTAGTTAGAA